AGTTTGACACATTTCATAAGATGCTTCCACACTTGCTTTGTGGAGAACCTTCCATGTCAACACCTTCACCTTGTGCCGCTTTTGCTACCTATCATGTGCTTCTATAAACGCAACATTGTGTTGCTGTGCAAATGTGCTTCTGTGTTACAGATGCAGGCAGTATCTGGAGCACTTAGATATTTTTATTAGTTTATACATATGCTGGAAAGTAGGTTTGCATCCACGAAAGTGATGGAGAGAAGTGGGCTTTGTGGGCACAGGAAGGGTTTTGGGCTGTTTTTTTAATTTTAGCCTAGATGTGGAGACAGATGTGAATGCTACTCAGCAGCCTCTGTGTGTATTGAAATGGTGACTGGATACATCTGAATCACAGAACTGTCTTAACAGGATGCTACGCCATAGAGTATTATAGACTTACAGTCTCAAAAATATTTCACAGTGCATGAATTCACATATATTAAGTAATCATAAATAACTCTAAATTACATATGCCCAGAATCATGAGCAAAAAGCATGTCTGTGCATTTATTACTTTTTGTTCTATTAACTTTCCACTAAGGTCTCAATTTGGCAGCCACTCTGTGTTGGTCAGTGACATATCTGCTGCCAGAAGCCACTGGTGGTTTCTAAGGGTGCAGGAGCTGTCCCACACCCATGTGTTTTACAGCTAATGGATGTGTGGTGAGCATCTGCTAGCAAGGTGCATGGAAATTCAGGAGCACCTCAATACTAGAGGAGCATAGTCCAACTTTTATTACTGAAACACTTGTGAAGTTTCTCTTTTGCTTCCAATAAATGTTTTTAATGGATCAATAATGTTATATTGTTAGCAGAAATTATCTTTGGGGCGAAGTCTGAAAAGGGAAAAGGCAAATAATTCACAAATTTAGAGCTTGGATTTAGTCTCCTTGTTGTCTGTTAGGGCAAACATAAAACATTAGTAGCACGCTTTTACCAGGTTATTCTCACACAGCCCATGTATTCAATTTATCTCATTTTATTCGTCTTTTCCACTGAAGCGCAAGTCATGTCTTCACCACTTCCTCTTCCTCCCTTCAGTGCCTTAGCAGAAAGCTCTGGCTTTGGCAGTGGTGGGTACTGGTAACCAGCCCCAGCTGGGGGTGTACATTGCTTCACTCATGGGCTCTCCCCTTTATTTTTTTCATAAGGAACTGGGTTTGAACGCGCTGCCCATTTTCCTCACCAAACAGTAGGTTACACTTTAAAAGCAACTCATGTTTTTTATTTCCCATCCTCTTTGCCATCTGTCTGTAGATCTTAGTATGCAGTCTGTTAGGATTTGCTGATAAAGATTTTATTAAGATTTATTTAATGTGATTTTCAATCTTCCACTCTTTAATCCATGTTAGAAAAAATATTAAATAGTGACAATCCATAGCTGCCCTTTAACTAAATCGCATTCACTTAACCCAGGAAAGAATGATTTCTAAAGAATTTCTGTCTCACAGGAGCTTAGTAGTTGTCTTGTTTATTATCTTGCTGTGGTTAAAATTGCGGCAGTAGGGGGGGTAAAGAAAAGAAAAATTGTTAACGCAGTTGTTTGTGTGGCTTGCCCTAGATATTATTGTTACAATTTTTTTATAATTTTTTTTTCTAATGAGCAGAAGCAACTGTGAAAGGAGAAAATGCTGAAAACAGTACAACTATAAATAAAATTAATTCTTTTCATGTGATGCAAGTCACAGGAAAAACCTAGCTCAATATGCTCTGGCTTCTTGACACTCAAGGTGTGATCAGAGATTACTTATCATCCACAGGAGAGTGGGAAGCAAGTTAATTAAAATTTTCCACCCTTTCACTGAATGAAATGTCTCCCAGTTTGAGATGCGTTATTTGAACACTTTTTTTTTCAGTAGGGCTCTGGCACGTACTTTCTACTTCTGCTGGCGTTCAAATCCAATATTTGCTAGCTAGTAAGAGCATTGCAATTTCATCTTACAGAACTGTATGTTTGAAATTTTATTTCTATTGTCTCAAATAATAGTAGATAAAATAATTTTAATTATTGTATTAAATATAAAACGAATACAGGATGACTCTTTTCCTCTGCACCCATCCCTCAGTGTATTGTTTGTTTAGCATCATTTTTGCTTTGGAAAGCATTTAATATGACACCAATTAAAGGTCTGTACAACCGTGATCCTGCTGGCACACAAATTCCAGTCTTGGGATAGGATTACAACCAATGATTCAGGAGGGGGAGGGAGAGGGAGAAGTCATTTCTTGTAGTCTTAAAGAAATCTTCAATTACCTGTATTTGCAAGTTATGAGCTTAAAGCCCATATGAATTACACCTGTTTATTCAGGAGTGACTTCTTTCTTTTGTCTATCATCTTCAAACGCAGCCAATTATTAGGAGTAGTTTATTTCCCTGGGGATGAGGTGCGGTGTCTGCCTCCAGCAAAGCGTCATGCAGAGGCGGAGAGAGCTTGTTAAAGAGCATGCGGAGCTCGGAGGAGGTGTGCACCTCTGCATAATGTATACGCTTCCTTCCTCCAAACTGCCTAGCACAGAGATTGTGGTGTCTCGTACCAGCACATACGAAAAGTAAGAGGTCACCTTTTTGTAACAGTTGTACAGCACTCTTTCAACAGAGTTTTTTACATTTCCACATTCTTCATAAAAATTTTCTTTAAGCCCACTTGACTTTAACCTTACATTTATTTTCCGATAACTTTACACTTTTCAATGTGCTTACCTGCTCTTTTCCTTTTTGCACCATTGGGATTGTGAAATACAGCATCGTCTGCTGCAGATGAATGCTTAATCCTGACAGGTCAGACAAGTCCAAAGCCAGCCTTGTCTCGCCACTCAGAGCCTGCAGGGACAGTGGGCTGTGGCAGGAGTGATGGCGCGTCCCTGAAACAATTTGGCTTCTGCAGCAGCCAAATGAGCTCTGTGTGGTATTGATGTCCTTCCTCATTGCTGTAATCTCCCTCAGATTTTTGACGTTTATTGCACATTCTGATGCAAGGAGAAGGCTATCCTTGCTAATCGCCAACCTTAGGCAATGAATTCAAAACAGAAATCCTCTTTGCAACGTAAGATGTGGCTTGGAGCACAAACAAGTCCTCTGTGCCAGTCTTTCCTGACCTGCTAGTCTTCTGCCCTCTAAATGAGTGAGCTCCTTCTGTTTGTTCCTCTGCAGAACACTGTTTGATGGAAAGAATGTTTTGGTCAGATCATTTTATGTGTCCTTCCAGGTACCTCGTGGTGGGCTTATGATGGTGGATGCTCTGACCTTATTCTTAATGCTCATGTTGAATATTTTTCTTTTTGGAAGGCGTTGTTGACCAGTCTCATAAATCTTAATATGTTACTGTGTTTTCTTGAGATGTTAGCTCTTAAAGGCATGTAGATATGTCGTAATTTTTGCATTACCTTTAGACACTCTATTTTAAGAACTGGAAAGAAGGCAGAAATATCCATTTTATGGAGGGAAATGGGAGTCTGAGGAGACTCTGAATCTACCACAATCACAGCTGTGGGATAAGTCCTGTTCACTTCAGAGGACATGAGTCAAAGGCTGCGCATTATTGCTCCCTTCTTGCAGGGCATCTCTTTCCTCTCCTGGAGTTAGGAATTCTGGTCTGTACACAATGATGTTGTATAGTATCCGTATCTCTGCAAGCCCCTGAAAGCCTCTGTACTGAAATCAGAAGATATGTTAGTAGAGTGTTCTTCTGCATGCACTTTCTGGAGTAGCTTTTTAAAACATTCTCCTTTTTAAACAAGAATGATACAGCTTCTTCAGCTATTTGCATTTGCAGTCATGATCAGGTTTTTAATAGGTATAGTCAGGCAGTCATTCAGTTATAAAGATATCAAGTGACCTAAATTGCATTCCTTAGAAGAAAGGAATAGCTGAGGTTGGAATTTACTAAAATACCTTGAAATAAGTACAGCAGGATTTGGATTAGTTTTGATCAAATGACTATTTTATTACTGTGGAATAAATGGATTTTTTTGAGCTGCAAAACTACTGTGCCTTACCCAGTGTTAAGAATTGGCAGTTAAAACTCCTTGCGTGCACATGAAACAGTGTTAAGTAAGTGCCTGAGCTTTCTGGCAAATATAATTGTTATTCCAATGGAATATAGTTATATTTGTAGAGAGTAGTAGTTACCATTTGCCTGCTTTGTGTTTATTAAAATTAAAAGCTAGTAAATATGCTCTAGCATCTATTTGTTAGATTACTGGAAGTCTTGGCAATTAGACACCTCACTGGAGCAATCTTTGTTGAAACCACCAGTGGTTCTTTCTGTGTGAATTACAGCGTCTGCCATTTAGTAGAAAGAGAATTAGCAAGGCTCGGCTGGGTAGATCTGCACTGGAGCCAGACTTCTGTACTGAAAGGCAGTGCTTTGGTCTCGCCCACAGATTTCCTGATTCAGAATAACAAGGAAGCAATGCGTATTTGGGGGTGATAAAAGGAATAGATCTGTACTTGTATGTTATTTTTGTTGTTGTTGTTGGCTGTTTTGCTCTTGATCCATCATGGCAAAGTAACTAGACTGATTTCAGTACAGATTTTCAAGGATTTACACTAGCATAGACAAACACACATTCCAAGCGAAGCAATGTTGTCTTTTTTTTTAACTACTGGAATATCTTTTTGCTTAGGGGGAGATAATTGATAAAATACAGTGAATTTGTGCTGTTCAGATCTGGAATCATCTAAAGCTAAAGGATGACTCAGGCACTGTAAAAACAAGATCACAGATGTTTACCATTTTAAACAAACTCAATTTAACAGTTTGCGATGTACAGGCAATTGGTCCTGTATCTTATGTTTTTGAACGTTTTCCTTCCTGCCTAGCTGAACGTGCAAAATGACCCACTTCAGTACAAAACCGCTTTCTCCCTCCCAGAAAATCCACATGCATATTTTTTTCTTGTAGTTTGGTTGGGTTTTTCGTGTGTCAAACCGAATGTCACAATCCAAGTGGTGCCACTAACTGTTGATTGTTCTTTCCTAGGGAGTTGAAGTGCAGACAGATTACGTTCCGCTGCTGAATTCCCTTGCCGTGTACGGCTGGCAGCTGACGTGTGTGCTTCCTACTCCAATTGTGAAGACAAACAGGTAGGGACAGGGTGGGTGCTGTCTTTTGGCCAGGGAAGTTGCTGTATGAGCACCATAGTCTGTACAAGCAATGCTCTGTGCAGTTAGCGTGGATTTCCTTGCACACACACAGTGGCTGCCCTTGCAAACCCCACTGCAGCTGTTCTCTGGGTTTTCTGAGCATCACAAGCCACATGTGGCAGGAAGCACGTATCTGGTGGGCAAAACACTTCAAGGTGGCAGTATGATTTCTGCATGAATTTTCTGGATATTGCCTGCCTCTCTGTAAACTCCTTCTCTGTAAAATTCCTGCTCTGGATCTTCCAGTATCTCCTCTTAGAGCAAAGACAAAACATGTGATAATGTTTGGAGTGAGATGTTGGCTATCTGAAGAAAAGCAATTTTATTCTTAATCATTGTCTGTCTAATGCTGCTGTTATACACAGTCTAGCTGGGCAGAACTGTGTGACATTGGTGTGTATCATTACTCTAGTAGCACTGTTTGCATATGTAATCATTCTGTGGTCTACTTCGCTATTGTTAATATTCTGAGTTTTTAAATATAAATGCAAATCACTTAAAAATATTCTTAATAACTGGTGAAAAAAAATCATCCAGCTTGTTAATCATGAAGATGGCACTTTCTGAATTTTCACCGGTCTGGAATATATTTATATACATATACACCAATAAAATCAGCTATGATTTTTTAATCTTAAAAGAGTAAAAATATGCCCAGTTCTTTATGAGATCTAGATGAAGACTACTCCTACACATAAAAACCTAAAAAGTAAAGGCCATCTGTGCTGAGGAAAAAATGATATTTAAGTTTTTCTTATACATTTAAATATAGGCATGAATAGAAAATCACAATTATGATTTATAAGCCTTGTCTCTTAAAGGTATATATGTTTTTCGTCTAGCTTTCTGTATCCCATTTATAAGTTCAGTAACACAGGTCAGGTTGACAGTGCAGGACACACGCAGTCTAACTGCTGGTGGCATGTGGTTGTGCCTCCTGCCATGCCGCAGACCTGCAGGGACCACCCAGCCCGTTCCGGATCCGTGCCCAGGAGGGAGGGGGCACTCCAGTGTCACTGTGACACAGGCACTGGGGCGCTTGGGTTTCTTGATTTTTGTTCCAAACTGTTTATTCTGTGTTTACACACTAATGCTAAAACATTCAGCAAAAGTATGTCACAGGCTGACAGCCTCTGTCAGGCAGAACAGTTGCTCTTTTTTCCCCCAAAAATACCAGGCTGCTCAAAGACACTGGAGACAGGCAGTGTTTAGGTCATTCTTAATTTTGTTCTTCTTTGACCTGCAGAAGTACATTACTGAGATGGATTTTTGCTTTGAATGATGCTGGATGTGAATTTAATGCGTTCTCAGGAGTGTACATTTGTTTCTTTTCAGGGAGGGGAATTTATCTACAAAGCAAATTGTATTTCTTCAGAGACCTTCTTTGCCCCAGAAAGCAAAGAAAAGAGAATCTAAGGTAAATAACCTTGAGTCCTTGTTTATTTGTTTTTTGGTAGTGGTATTTTAATATTGTAATTGATTTCCCGTAGAAGTGAAAATGGCCTATTCGATGTTTCTGTAATATGGTAGCAAGACACAAGGAATTGAACTGTTCAAATGAAAGAAACAAAAATTGCTCAAATGATGTTAAAACTCTTTATATTTCATTCTCTGTTGAACACATGGCAGCAGAAGAGACGTAGATTTCCCTTTAGATAAACCGGGTATTTTCTCTCAACTATTGCCAGTCTTTTTGGTTTAAATTGCTTTCTCTTTCTTGCTCTGTATTTTGGTAGAGCCTAACACAATGTAGGCCTGATCTTAGCTGGTGTTTCTATCTATTGTGTGAAAGTTAAGCGATTCTGCTAGAATTTAACCAAAAAAAAAAAAAGCCTTGCAAATTCAGCTAAATTATCTGAGAAGGTAGCTGACAGCTAATGATGTATGTATGTGGATACACATATGTATTCGCATTCCCATTTTTAAATGTGTTGCTGTGGGAATCCCTTCCCAAACCTGTCACACTCTACATCTGGGAGGGAAATAGAGGGACTGGAAACTGGGAAAGTGGTAACCTTCCTATAATACCCAAATTTGCCTTGCCCTTTCAGTATGCAGAGGGATCAGAAAAGCCAGGTAAAGTATGGAAAAGATCTCTGAAACCATGTGATGAAAAGTTTGCTAATTAATCCAGCCTCATTTTTATTTAGCTCTGTGCACTTACGTGAGTGCTGGCCAGCCAAATGTCACCTGAAGGAGCGGGGTGTGTGAGGCCCTGCAGAAGCTGACCTAGGGTAGCAGACTGGAAATGCTAAGCAGAGCTGAGCACTAGGAGCATTCTACCGAGCATTTTAGATAATTAAAGATAGTTTTAATCTATAAATCCCTCACTGCCTGGTTCTGTGAAAGTAATCTTTTAGATATGGTGGAGACCAGGAGAGAGTCTGAACTGACTGAAATAGGAGAGGACTGCTGGGAACACAGCTCTGATTTAGGATTTACCCTCTCTCATTAGTGAAGCTGGACCCCAGAGCATTCTGTGAATGTGTTATAAAGCTCAACTTTCTAGGTTTTTTTTTGTTTGTTTTCAGGTGATTAAAGGGATTCTTGGGATGAGGGTTGGAGTGCCTGTATTTGGTCGTTCTTTTTTTACCACTGTGTGTGGTTTTAATGGAAGGGGTGGGAACCTCTAAATGATTGTCTTCAGATAGAGAAATTAGTATGATACTGAATTCTTGTATTATGGTAACAAATGCATACCATCCAGATGACTTAAAACTTTGTTTAAATTTTTTCATTCAGAGATATAAAAACGTATTTAACAACATCTGGTTGACAAAACAAAGGATTTACTCATTGGCAATGTTAAAGATACAGACATATTTGAGGGCAAAAATCACTACAGCACATTTTCATATCAGAGGTCAAGGAGAAATGGGGTACATTGATTGTAGTTATATAAAGAATATAAGACTGGTTCAACATCTGTAAGTAGTTGTTGTAAATCACATCAGAGATGCCAAACCCAGCATTTGCTTCAGTTGCTGAATATTCTGCAGGTATAATGTCATAGGTTCTCAGGGTTTTTTTAACTTGTGATACAGTATGTCTAAAATCTTTATAGATAACCCCTCAAGAGAAGTGAAATAGGCTGATAAGATTAAAAGGACATTGCAGTGTTGGAAACTGATTCATCCTATCTATGCACACCAACCAAAGGCTGTTTAGTTTAGCCAGAGGAGCAGAAAAGGAAACATGTAAGCAGTGGTACAATTTACTTTTCAGTAAGACAGAAGTACTCTTATTAGTGCAATATTCAGTCAGTGATAAGGTAATCGTGTTCATTCACTTCATACAAAAGTGATGCTTATTTCACAGAAACTGGCTGTATGTATTTCTGTGAAATACAGTATAAATACCTGACTTGGTATACATACATTTGCACGTACACCTAGAGTCTCCTACAGTTTGATCTTTAACACATTTAGGGCCCTGATCTTACCTTCTGTCAAAGCTTTGTGTTAAAGGGGAGCTTTGAGTGCCCAGTGCTTCTGCAAATTAAAGAGGAAAATATTCAAGTGTCTCTGAATTTTAAACAGTTGAGCTCTAGAACAGAGATGTTATCTTTCCTCTTTCTCTAAACTGTAGTGATATTTAAGTGAAAGATAGCTTCCTCTAAGTAAGACCAAGAAGAATCTAAGAATCTTGTGAAAGCAAGTTTCTTTTTTTTTTCCCCCTTTTCGTTTTACTTTAAGTTCTGTCTAGAAGAAGGAAAGAACACTGCTCCATCTTTGAAATCTAATAAACTTAATGGGTTTTGAATGACCTTTTGTTTAAGGAATAAATAGCTGGATCAAAAATTTATGAACACAAGTCTTTCTTTTGACCAACTTTGGCACAGACCTGGTTGCTCTGGCAAAATGGCTTTTGGACCACGGTTGAATTTCCTCAGTGTCCTGATGAGATTATTTACACAATCCAAACATCAGCCCCTAACCCATCCCTGAGTTCCCATCAGCATGAACACTGCTGACAAAATGGTTGTGCACATTCACATGGACTTAGCAAATGTGTAGGGTGGCTCAGCAGTGGCATGGAACATGGCCTGGCTTTCCTTGGAAAGTCCAATTATTTCAGAGTATTTTACTGTTTGGGTATAGTCTTAGGTATGATGTTAGTTCTGCTGTTAACCTGGTGAAAAACATTGGAATAACGGCATAGGATTCCTTCCTCTGTCTGCACTCGTGCAGCTTTGCATAGTCTTGCTTTGCACAGAGTGCAGGTTGGGTGCCAGGGTGCTGTAGGCCTCAACAGTGACACAGCGTGTGGAGAGGAACCCACTAGGCATTTGAAACAGCAGAAGCAGAATGCATCAGTCTCTTTTCTCCGGGTAAATACATGTTGGCACAAATGATCTTAAGCCGTCTGTTTTAGTCATGCAGGTTTCTTTCATCTTAGGTTGTTTTGGTTAAACTAGTCTTTGAATTAAATAAAAAATAAAAACATTTCTACTCAGGATAGTAAATGTCCATGTGAGATTCTCTTTAACATTTGGATCTTTTAATTGCAGTTTCACTGGAGGTTCTCCAAAGAAGACATGCACAATAAACAAATGAAGAAATCCACAAAAGCTAAATTAAGTACTAGAGAAAAGCAAATGGCAGAGGAGAAGCAGGAGTTTGAGGTCACAGAGAACACAAGAAACTTAGAAGCACAAATCTCAACATCAGCCAAGCCTGATCCAGAACAGCAGCTGGATGATGTCATAGACTTGGGAGATGAGGTAGCTGGGACCAACGACAGAGGTACCTATCATGACGGGGCGTCAGAAGACACATGTCCTGCCAGTTACGATACTGATGACAATGACGCGCAGGTTTGCCTCAGCCAGAGTACATCTGGCTGCTGTGCGGATCAGGTAACAGAGGGGGGAGACTGTGCTCCAGTATCGGACGGCTGCAACGGCAGCGATGGGGCAGGGCTGGACGCGGACTGCTCCTGTGAGTAAGACCTACATTTGAAGAATCCTGTGAGTTGCTGATAGTTTGCCAAGACAAAAGAACAGATTCTGCTAATCACCATTGCTAACTCCATTGCTCAATTCAGTATTTCTTTGGCATTGCACTTACTTTGCTCCTTAGCACACTGATATCTTGATGTTTTAAGTAACTGCAGAGCCTGGGCTTTTTAACCTACAGAAACCTTAGTTTACAGAGTGGGAAATGCCCTACACTATCTCCTAGAGCTAAGTTTTAAAAAGTAGGAACAGAAAACACACTCGGGTTTTTCTAGGTTTGTATCTAGGTCAGGGCAAACATTCCACTTGGTCAGATTTTATTCTATAATACTTTCTCGTTCACGTATCTTTGCTGGAGAAGTTATTGTGCCATATGTTACTTTGTCATTAAGCTTGTAGTGTCATGAAAATGGTATTTGGGCTTAAACAGGCTGAAATTGGAAAGCTTAGGTAAGATGTCTGATATCTGTATTTATCTCGAATAGCATACTTATTGATGATTCTCTCTTCTGGATTTTATTAACTCTTGCAGATTTAAGCAATAAGCAAATCACATACCTATTTTAGGCACACTGGGTAAAAAAAACCCTGGTAAATTTGTGTGAGGCAGATGATTCCGATCTAAAATGCAGTTTCCTATTTGCTCATCTTTAGTGTTCTCTTTGCCAGTCAACAGTTCATCAATAGTTGTGGGGGCTTCAGAAGATAGAAAACCAGGAAACAAAAAAAGCAGGTAAAACATACTTCTTTCAGTGGCTATCATCATAAAAATTGGAATTAGATGTTACCTCCTGACCCTTCCAGGTTATTTTGCATCACTTACAAACTGTTAGGTGTTGTGAGAAAGAACTGAAATTATAGACAAATGGCATGGGTCAGTGGCCAACAAATGTCACTAAATAACCTTACAAAATGCAAATACTTCAATAGAGGGGCTTTTTTCTACACATAACCATATTTTGGGACTGATACTTAATGGGATTCTGTAAAATTGCCAACACTTTAATGTTTGGAGTTACTTTTAAAATATTTACAAGTGAATGTACATGTGTAATATAGTTTCTGTGCCAATGTTCTCCAAGTACTTCAGTATCCTTAAAAATGTAGGAAGTAGTTGTTTCCCTCTTCTTAACCACCTTCATCCCTGTTTAGAAGTGGTCAAATAATCTGTTAAGAGGTGGGAAATACATTCTAAATTCCCCTGCTTTTAGTTTTTTAAAGCAAGATCTCTGTAAGTGATTTGCTGGTTTTTTTCCCTTGACTGATTTGTGCCCGATAGTTTTCCTTAGTCTTCAAATCAAAATGCTGTACAAAGAACTATGTTCTGTATCAAATGTACACCTAGAGTGGGTCAAAAGCATTTTCCACACCTAAAAATCTCACAGTTGGCAGAACATTTCAGAGAAGGGAAAAATCATACCACTGTGAATATTCATCTAATTGGGACAGCAGCACTCAAGTTTAAACCATTTGATTTCACACACACAAAGCACGGTGATAGTTTTTTCAGTGATTAAAGATTTTTTTATTTTGAATTCAGTGGTTTAAGTGGAGGACGATAAGTAACTTCAATTTCTGGTGGTATTTTTCAATTATTTCATTCTGTTTCTTGAGATTAGACTGGAGTTTCAATAGCCTCAAAAATAGGTTGTTTCAGTTGTTCTACTTAAATACAAGGTCTCTGTTCTGTACAGTTATAAGTACCTGTTTGCATATTTTATTAGCATAAGATCTTTCTACTGATGGTTTCTATTTCAAGGACTAGCTTTGTATTAATCTTGTTTAAAAAGTCACTATATTTAATGAACATTAAAAAGTGTTGCAGTAGAAAGAACTCTCCAAATATTTCTGAACAGAAAGCATTTATTGGATTGCAATTTGACCTTGTTTAACTGAATCTCAGCTTCTTACAAAACTAAGGAGAAATAAAGGTCGTGTGGAGATTTCTCATTTGTGGTACTTGCACAACTGCCGATAATTTGTCCCCAAAAGGAGACTTGGTGTCTCTAAGTGGTGACGAGGGGAAGCTCCTTACTACTGAATTAGCAGTAACCAGTGCTAGAGAACTGCCTACTTGGTTTTTCGTGTGACAGAGCATGTAAAGGTCTGTGAGGAAATAGCACTGCTTTAAGTGAAAGCTTGATTTAAAACTTTGTTCCTGTAATGCCAACTTGTTCCTGCATTACAGTTCCTGTAATGCAGCTTAGGGTTGGGAAGATTCTAAGAGAACTTAAATGTTTTTTCAGTTTAAAAAGGGGAAACGGGTTTGGTTTTGTACCCACTTAATTCCAACTTGTGACTTTGAATTACTTTGAGTTAGTTCAGCTGTTTGGAGTTGTGCATGTGCTTTCACTGTGCCCCATCTCAAGTAAGCTGAGAGAGAGCTTAAATCTCCTTGTAGACAGATGATACAGATGTGCTGAGGGCTGGGGAGGGCGGACATGGGGTACAGCAGCTGTTACATGCATTTTATCACAGCTGCCTTTGCCGTTTGGGGCTTGAAAAAGCAAGACCACTAGAGCAGTCAAGGAAGTGAAAGCAAGCGGTCATCACCTTAGTTGAAGCCTGAATGGAGAAGAGAAAGGGCTAGGCCAGAGTTTAATTCCTGTATCTGAAAACCTGACCAATGTGGAGAAATACGCCAGCAGTGGAGACACCGTATGTGGGAGAGGCTGAAATAGGAGTTTGGCTGCAGAGGTACAGTCTCAATCTTCCACTCGAGGGGGGAGGGCAGGCTCCATACCAACTTCTCACCTGGAGAAGCCACAGATACTCTGCTGCTCTGAGCTGCTGCCTCATCCCCAGCAGAAGGTGGAGAGGGAGGCCAGGCCCTTTCCTTTCCCACAAAAAGCCACCATTTTAAGCCCAACCTATTCTTTTCCCCAAACTAGGCAGAACCTCTCAGTAAGGATGCAAACTAATCTTACCATTTCTCTCTTGTAAGGGAAGGACACACCAGTGAGTATTGCCGGCATAGCTGGGGAAGCAGCTGATGGGTTGTTGCTACCACGTGTCACTGATGCTGGCTGGTGACAGTGAAGCACAACAGCACGCACAAGTGGCACTTTGGTGTATTTTAACATAAATTTATTAGAGCAGCAAAACTCACGTGTGTAGACCAGTCTCAAAGAGTTACCTGTCTTTGAGGGAGGAGCACGCGGGATGCTCTGTGGGGAGAAGGTACACATGCTGGTGTTGAGTGCAAGTGGTCATCTGAGCAAGACAGCAATTGTTAAATGGGATGAGTTGGAAAGAGAAAATCCATTTTAGACAAGTGAAGAAATGTCAAAGGCTGAATGAAGATGGCAAAGAAGAGCAGCTGAATTAAATGAAGGATGGAAAAGGGAGTTTATATTGAAACAACAGTGAGGGGCTGGGGTAGAGGGGTAGAACTAACATAGGTAGGAAGTCCAAAATGTTGAAGCATCATAATGGAAATAGTTTACATGTAGAGTTTAGAGGGGGTTAAATGAACAAATGATTTGACTGACACTTCATCTTGTGTAATTTCTTTGATTATTGGATTAGCGCACTTGAAAACAGTATGATTGAAATAGCTCAAAGTAGCTTTAACATAGGCATGGAAATGAAGCTAAGTACAAAATAATATACTCTTTTTTCCCTAATTTGGCCCCTCTATCAGCCTCAGTTTCTGAGGTGAGCAGGGGAAGGGTTCTGCATTTGAATACTCTGCTTTTCCTTTGTAGTTGCCATCACTCTGTACATGTGCATCAGGGAGCCAATTATAGGGCAGAAATAAAGCGTGATCAGCTTTTAACCCAGGAATTTCATCCTCCCAAAACCAAAGACCATAAGAAGAGCAGATACTAATTTCTTGCTGATAAATGCTTCTCAAAAGTATGAGGAATGCTGGCTAACAATATCAACAGACCTACGAATTAAGAGTTGTGGACGCAATTCATGTGTCTGCAAGGGTGTTAGTGGAGATGTGCTTCTGGCTTTAAAAGGCAATCCTTGCCAAAGCCTCCACCAGCAGAAAGGTGCCTGTGGTGCTGAATGTGGCAGGTGACTTACAGTACCTTACCTATATGCTGAAGGGGGAAAAAGGCTTTCAATTCAAGTGCTTTGTTATTCACTTTAAAAGCGCCCTACAAACTCTAATGATCTAATGGTTACTGAATAGCCACTTTTTTTTCCAGTTAATTAATACAAATCCTATCGGAATACTTCATATTCATTGTACCAGATGAGCACACAGCAAACGGGTAAAATAAATGTCACAGGAAGAAGAAAAAGATTCGAAAATGACTGTAACACCAGGTAACTCACAAACCATCTCACTAAGTTCAAATATAAATGTATAGATAGACACATATCTATCTCACTCCTTGTGTTTTGTAACAAAAAAGTATCAGTCTGCTTTTCCTCCTTAAGTTGCTCCTTAGGTGATGACACAAATCTAAGAGGAATAAACATTTTCTAAGATTACATGTTATGATTCAGTAGTGTGATTGAGAATATTTCTCCAACTCAATAGCTGCTGAACAGCAGCGGTTGCTCTCTGTTCCTACCGGTGTAGGCTAATATCCCATTTATTTAATTATTTGTAGAGCATATGTTTATATAGGTTAATTTTCCTGGGTGGTTTGTTGTTTGGTTTTTTTTTCCCTCTTCAATTATGGTGGAGTCTTTAAGGTGAAACTGATCTTTCACAACAAGAACACTAAATTCTAGAAAGAAGAGATTTCCAAAGATTCTTAAGTGTCAAGAGGAAAAGGCTCTGGAGCAAGGGGATGTTAACAACTTTCCCAGCTTCTTTGCTCAGAAATGGCATTTATCACTACGACTCGCATTACAGAATGAAGGTGTTCTGTGCCCTTTGGTCTTTAGGGGTGGGGAGGTATGAAATCTGTCTTCTCCTCTATCTTTGGGGGGGTGTGTGTGGGGGATGTGTGTGTGTGTGTGTTTTTAATACGCCTCCTCAAGCGGGTAGCTCGTACAATTAGAGAGATGTGCCCTTACCCCATGGCGCTCAATCTGAGTATAACAGGGGATGACAGAAAGAGGTTAGAGGGAAAAGAGGATGATTACAGAAGCAAAGAGTTTTGTTAAATGGACGTTTTGGTGCAAATCTGAGGAGTGGCTTGTGAGGAAAGCCTGTGCATTGAAGGAAGAAAAGAGTAAACCAGTTTATAATCCACTTAATGATTTATAAGTCTCAAACCCCCCCCCAACATTTACAGTCTTCTCAGAATCTTTTTATCATTACAATGGTAAAATGTGCAGGAGCCTAGCACATGTTTTTTATTTCAGGGCACCAGTACTTCCCAATAGCAATGTATTGCACATTTCACAGAAAAAAAAGGTCCAGCTTCCTTCAAGCATCAAGCTCCAACCTGTCAGTTCTGATCTTTGTGAACACAAAACCCCCTTGGTTTTATTTTTTGTGACAACCATGCTGTCCTATTTACATTCCAGAGTGAACAAACAAGGACCCATTCCTTAGAACAGGGGTACTCAGAAAGAATCTTCCTCTCATTTGAGTAGGAGGGAATTTGGCAAGACATCCCCCCTGGCTCTGCAGTGACTGCTGTGGAGGCAAGTCAGCTCAGCTTGCATGTAGAGTGCATGGTGTAGAACCACAGACCTCAGTGGATGAGGCTGCAGGCACCAAAGATGAAAACGTACAGGCAAACCCTCCTTGTGGCACTGTCCCCAGAAAGCAACTCTGTAAGGTCCAGCACTCAGTCACCTCCTCCTGACTGAAAGTAGAGCCTGTTGCCTCATGTTCTCTTTGGTCTGAGCTGTAGCGAGTATGGTTTTTTTTTCTTTGCTGCTCAGAAAGTGCTATGATTATTTCAGTTGTTCACTCAACTGCTGCAACAATTACAGTAGTATTCTTGTGCAAGGGCTTGGAGTTTCCCATTTAGGCTGTCTCACTGGGTTTTGAAGATGAGGTGAATGTGGATGTGGCAGTAGGTATCCTACAAGCTAAAAAACGTATCAGATACTGATAAAAAGACGTTAAGACCAGAGGCTAAACTCAGCATACTGAAGCTGAAATGATTTACTGGGAGAGAACTGCAGCTGGGCTGGAGGCTGTTTTAGCCAAGCATGGGAAGGTTTGCTTGAAAAATAAAGTGCTTCACACCAAGAGTGCTGTTGCAGGCTGGAAACTGGGTGTTGCGATCTTTGCACCCTCTGTTTAAAGCAGAGCACAGGGAGTCTGAGGGCAAGAAACTTGCTGCATTATCTGACTCATTTGAAACATTAACTCAAGGAAAAGAGCCACTAACAAAGAGGAGGCCTCATCTTTTAACACTTTTAATAATTCAATAATAATTTCATATTTTTGATAATTTAAATGTGCCTTACTCAAGTCTTCAACTGTACAGTGGGAATCTCTGCCACTTAAGGTCTTGAACTCTCTATACAGGTAATTAAAAAACTCAGGGCTTTTTGTTAGTCTCATCATCTCTATGATGAGTTTTCTACAAGTTGGGGGAAGAAGCTTCATTCACAGTGGGCTCAGGCATCGTCCATTACACCTAGATGTACATTCCTACCTTAAAAGAGCAAACTTGATAGAGACTCTTTTCCTGACAGAACTGGTGTGTCCTGGAGCCTTCTACAACCCTGTGTGGTAGCAGAATGACAGACGTCTCCTGTCTCGGCTGTTGCTGGCCGCTGCTGCTTTTGAGGATGTGGCATATGCAAGCACAAAATGGACCCAGCAAGGGATGCAGGTTCATGTGAACAACTCTGTACAGTGCGCTCAGAGGCCAACAGATTCTTAACACTTTTACACTCAATGCTTTTAACTTGGGTCTGAATATGATTATGAAAAAAATGTCTTCTACTGTCAACAGAGTTGACTGACTTAAATAAACCACATAAAAGGGGGGGTTTATTTTAACAAGAAGTGGCAAGAGAAGGAAGTCACAACACAGCAACTCTACTTCTATAAAAATATTAATTTATAATATAGAACTGGGGAAGGCAGGGTGTTGACTCATTAGCAAAACAATTCAGAACAGATTCAGAAGTTGTGGCTTGAATTTATTATAAACTGACCTGGCCTTGCTGCACAACTAATTCTCTACAACTGCTGAATCGGACTTTTAAGTCTTTTAAAGGCTGACTAACAAAACAAAGTGTATAAAGTGAAAATATGCTGCTACCTGTAAGAAGCAAGCAAACCATCAAACAAGCAGAAGTTAATCTCTTTAATATAAAATCACTTTCCCCCCCCCCAACAGCAGCAGCATTGTATTACAAGTGTATTATAGTTAAATTAAAGGAACACCATCATGACTGAGGACATCTTCATGTGTGAAGTAAAGTCTTCCAAATAATTCATAGTCCATTTCTGTACATTTCAGCTTATTAAAATACTCTGGAAACAAATAATATATTCTCTGTTCAGCAGGTGTCACTACCACCATTTTTCAAAGAAAACACAGTTTCTAGGAACACCAATGTTAGATAGTAGTGTGGATAGAGATTCTATCATTGGAGGTGGACCACAAATGTACCATAGAGTATCCTTAGATACATGTTCTTCTAGATCCTTTTCAGATATTCTTCCCTCTGACAAAGAAAAAATAACAGAAATATTAATTATGAATTAGTGTCAAAAAGAATGACCACTAAGAGGTAGTTGAAGCACTACTGTCTTAAAAATGTGAGGCCCGTTTAAGGATAATAGGTATCAAGACTTGAGGCTTCCAAAATAATTTGTTCTTCTGGAGATTTTGATCAGTACATCCAGTTGGAATGCAGTCACTGAGGAGGGACATGGCTCACAGACAACTAATGATCCCATATTCAGATGAAAAAAATAGGTTAAGTATCTCTAACACAAATGTAACAGAAATGGAAACAGGACAAAGTATCTCTTACAAGCAGTAAGCTTGTCCTTCATCAATCCCACCTTCAGCAAAGTAACTACTCTGCTTAATAGTTTCTGGAATAAAGTTTGCAGTGAAGAATACCAGTATAAAGTTTAGAATTAACAGAGATTTACTAGAAATGAAAACAAAAACTGCAAAGGGAAAATTTTTCTCCAACTGTAATATGTACAGTGAAATTATTTAGGTTTAACTCACATTCTCATTTAGAATCTTTAAACGTAAAAATACTAAATTCTGCATGTAACTTCATCCTTATGGATATAACCAAACTGAGACTTGAGATACCATCTCCGTACACTGCCATTATAGTTACCTGTAACATGTGGCTGAAGTTCTTTACAGATCTGTGAACTCTGTTGGGTGACGTGGAAACGACATGTGATCTTTCCAGGAAATGCATTCATCAAACCAAGAATATTCTTCTGTAATGTTAAACACACTTGCTTATACCACAAGCTGTTAAATCAAAGCAGATGTATGCATGTACAGTCCCACACCGCCAGTGATTGTTACCACGTACATTTCAGCACTGAGAACTTGATGGGCCTGATTTCACAGGGCTGACCTGCACACCACAGAATTTTCCTGCCTGGAATGTGCATACACTACCAGCTGTGTCCTTAGTGCTTTACTCCTTTTTTACAACAGGTTGCAGTCTGTAAGATTTGGACCTAAGAATCAGTTACATCCTTTCCTGATTTCTTTTCCATATAAATTCTCACTATTTCCTCATTCCACTTCCATATGGGTTTTCCATTTAAAAAACCCAAACACTGCAGTATTTATTTACCATTTCTTAAGAACTTTTTGACTCTCGTCTGCTTTATCTGGTAAGTTTATGAGACCCTTTACTCCCTCATGTTCTCCAAGTAAAACCAACTACAGTGCAAATGCTGCTATTTTTACCAGAGTAGAAACTGTAATTTTCAGTTCCCTAAGTCACAACTGTGATAGTTACCACCAAAAACCCAGCTGCTTCAGTTCAAATCATAGGAAAAAAATTTAAAAATCTGTCAGTCAGATGTAGTTAGTTCTGAAACAGAGACTTAGTTACTGTCTTGATTCTGTACTATTTGGTATTTTCACAGCTGGAACAGACACTGGAAATTCTTTCTTAAAATATCATAGAGCCATAGAATGGTTTGTGTTGGAAAGGACCTTAAAGGTCACCTAGTTCCAACCCCCCTGCCCTGGGCAGGGACACCTTCCACTAGCCCAGGTTGCTCAAAGCCCCGTCCAACCTGGCCCTGAGCACTGCCAGGGAGGGGGCAGCCACAGCTTCTCCGGGCAACCTGTGCCAGTGTCTCACCACCCTCACAGGGAAGAATTTCTTCCTTATATCTAATCTAAATCTACCCTCTTTTAGTTTAAAACTGTTATCCCTCATCCTATTCCTACACCCCCTGATAAAGAGTCCATCCCCATCTTTCCTGTAGTACTGGAAGGCTACTATCAGGTCTCCCCAAAGTCTTCTCCAGTCTAAACAACCCCAACTCTCTCAGTCTGTCCTCACAAGGGAGGTGCTCCAGTCCCCTGAGCATCTTTGTGGCCTCCTCTGGACCTGCTCGAGCAGTTCCGTATGCTCCTTATGCCTGGGGGTCCTAAAGCTGGACACAGCACTGCAGGTGGGGTCTCGTAAGAGTGGGAGGATCCCCTCTCCTCAACCTGCTGCTCACACTTCTCTTGATGCAGCCCAGGATACAGTTGGCTTTCTGGGCTGTGAGCACACATTGCTGGCTTAGAGTCAGTTTTCCATTCATTAATACCCCCAAGTCCTTCTCCGCAGGGCTGCTCTCAATCCCCTCATCTCCCAGCCTGTATCTGTGCTTGGGATTGCCCCGACCCTTGTGCAGGACCTTGCACTTGGCCTTGTTGAATTTCATGAGGTTCACACGGTCCCACCTCTCCAGCCTGTCCAGGTCCCTCTGGATGGCACATCCCTTCCCTCCAGCATGTTCACCGCACCACACAGCTTGGTGTTGTCAGCAAACTTGCTGAGAGTTCCCTCAATCCCATTGTTCGTGTCACCAACAAAGATGTTAAACAGCACTGGTCCCAACACCGACCCCTGAGGAACGCCACTCGTCATTGCTCTCCCTTGGACATCAATCCGTTGACCATGGCTCTTTGAGTGCGACCATCCAGCCAGTTCCCTACCCACCAAGTGGTCCATCTGTCAAATCCATGTCTCTCCAATTTAGAGACATGGATGTTGTGCGAGACAGTGTCAAATGCTTTGCACAAGTCCAGGTAGATGATGTCAGTTGCTCTTTCCTCATCCACCAACACTGCAACCATGTCATGGAAGGCCAAATTTTTCAGGCGTAATTTGCCCTTTAGTGAAGCCACGTGGGCTGTCATCCATAATTTCCTTATTTTCCATGTGCCCTAACAAAATTTCCAGGAGGATCCATTCCATGATCTTGCTGGGCACAGAGGTGAGACTGACTGGCATGTAGTTCCCTGGGTCTTCCTTTTTTCCCCTTTTTAAAAATGGGGGTTATGTTTCCCCTTTTCCACTTATGGGAACTTTACCAGACTGCCATGACTTCTCAAATAGGATGGATAGTGGTTTAGCAACTTTATCTGCCAATTCCCTCAGCATCTGTGGATGCATCTCATGAGGTCCCATGGACTTGTGCACCTTCAGGTTCCTTAGATGGTCTCAAACCTGATCTTCTCCTACAGTGGGCAGTTCTTATTCTCCCAGTCCAACCCTTTGCCTTCTGCAACTTGGGCTGTGTCGCTGGAGCCCTTGCCAGTGAAGACTGAGGAAAAAAAAGGCAGAGTGCCTCAGCTTTTTCCATATCCTGAGTAACCAAGTCTCCCATTTCCTTCCGGAGAGGTCCCATGTTTTCCCTGGTCTTCCTTTTATCACCAATGTACCTGTAGAAGCTTTTCTTGTTGCCCTTCATGTCCCTGGCCAGATTTATTCCCATCAGGGCTTTGGCCTTTCCAACCTGATCCCTGGCTGCTTGGACATAATCTGAAATAAGAATAATTTCTACTCTATGAATAGGTAAATTAGCTCATTTTGTTATCTGTTTGCTTACTAACTAGGTTACTAGACTGAACAGTCTGCCATGGGTTGCTTCACAAAAAACACCAGACATTCTAGTTCAGAGACAAATCTGTTTCTGATTGCCTAAAAAGACATGGAATGAAGAGCAGCACAGATAAGACACTGCCGTACACTGTTCCACCAGTACTCCTAATATTGGCCTGCTTTCATTGACTGACTGTAAACTTCAGTCCCCTTCACACAGAAACACATACAATTTGATGGCACTTTTGCAACTAATCATGTCCTGCTGAGTTGAAGTCCTAGGAACAAGCCAGAAAGCATGCCTAAGGTAGAACTTTACCTGCTTAAGTAATCCTGCAGTCATTGACACCATCTACTTATAACCTATCACTGTAAATCAGAGGCAGAAAGTGGCAAATACTGTACCTGTGACATCAACCATCAAATTTTCTATTTTAGGATTTCTATTAGGATACTATTTTCTAGTATCCTAAAGAGAGCTTGTTCTTGCCTTAAGTGAATGAAGGAGAGTTTCAACAGCTCAGCAGGCTCTTTGCAGCCTAGTGAGTTTGAGTACAGAACAAAGCAGACAGCTGAGCAATACAGTCCTAAGGGAGAAGACCCATCCCCAGGAAGGAAAGAAGGGTCACATTCAGTCCTCATGAACTCAGGAAAACCCAGATAACTGCATCCAAAAGTAGCAAAGTTAGTATGCTGTCTTTTGTAATTCTAGCACTCTGTGCTTCTACCATTTTACATAATGAGGTTTTCAAAAGCAGAGCATCTGCCTCTGAAAAGAGAGCACATCCAAAACGCATATTAGACCAATTATTACATTAGCGTCACCCTTTGTCAGCCTACACACAGCTGCTGCTTCAGGGAGCAGCAGGTCCTGCAAACCATTAGCAACGACCTAGCTGTTCCTCTAGTGATTCTATTTCCTCAATCCTCTGCACAGAAGTAAAGAATTTTCACATATATGTTCTGGATTTGAGGGACATGTGAAGAATAAATGGGAGGATATATTTTAAGCTCTGCGACATATTATTGTGTTCTCTTCTGTCCCAGACGCTCTAATGCAAAAGCTCTGCTGTCATAACACTGCTGAAGCGAAAACTCAGGAAATGGAAGCTCCTGCACTGAAAAAAAATGTGTATGCTTAGGACAGACCGGGAAACTAGTAGTTGGCCAAATGGAAGAGCAGATAAGTTTCAGTTTACTATTCTGCTCCTAGCAATAAACAAATGACTTTTCAAAGAAAGCAAACATCTTCGTATCTAGAAATATGATAGAACTACACAAGAAGAACTAATGAAGGATCTTTTATCATGATTTCTGGAATCATGATAGGTTTTTTCACCTTTATCTTGCAATCAATACTGCAAAGAAACCTAAATCGATAGGGATGCTTCTTCACAGAAGCCATGCTGATTTGACCTTAAAATGTTATCGGTGACCCCTAATGGCTGAGGGTGACAACTGATATTTAACTGCTAAGTAAATGATGATGAAGTCCTATATAAGCAATTTTGTAAGTGGTTATAAATCCTTTGTTCATACACTAGTACCCAATAATAACTAACGCAAAAATCAATAAAGCTTCCCTACTATTTTAGAAAGTACTTCCTTTGGATATAGTTGCTCTTCCTAGTCTTTAAGTTCAATACAAACTACACTGAGACTATGTGGTTACAGTATTACGGCATATAGCATTATGCATACTGTTAGTGTGTATATACACATATATATTATATATAATCTTTAGTATACTACAATGCTCTTATTACAGTAAAATGTAAACAATTAGGGCTAATCGACTTATCAGTGAAGTCAGTAAGACCAGGTATGTCCAGTAACAGCCTTAATTTGTACACTGGCATAAGTAATTAACAAAACACATGTGGTATTTGAGGCAGGAAATTACTTTTGTCTCTGTACAGTGTCTTACACAGAGGGGCTCTCTGGGATTTGGCAACAGAATGACATAGACACACTAATAGCTTAGCATCTATGATCTATTTTTTTAAAAAAACCTTTTTATTTACCTTAAATAAGAGTTCGCTTGTATTTTTTGCACTGTAGTACAGCTTCACTGTTCCCATTTTGTATCCATTTCCTTTACCCTCTTGGTATCCATGAAGATCTGCTATATGCAGCAGTATAGAAAACAATGGGTTAATTCCAACACCCCCTGCTATCAGCACTAGCTTTACAGGGGAGTCACCAGGCTGAGGATCAAAGAAGAAATCACCTCCCACTCGCAGAGCCACTTCTGAGTCAAGAGCACACTAGGATGGAAAAGAAGATATTTAATTTCAAAACTAAAACCAAAAGTTGAAATATTACTCTTCTTGCACCACAGTCACAAGACTTGCTGGGCTCTAATTTTTTATTTTTATTGACCAGTGAGGGAAAACCAAAGTACTTTAAAATAAACGAAGTTTCCAGCTAAAGTAATCTGTTTCAGTGTCTCTAGAGATCTAGTTCTACTTTCAGAAGTTTCAGTCTTCTGACAAGGCAGGATGGTGACAGCTCCTTCCCACCCCTGTAACAGTTGAATGATTCACACAAGAGTTTTTCAACAGCAGTAAGTGGTTGTGAAAACCCGAGGTTAACATGTGAGATCACACTTTTACCCAAATCCAGCCTCATGTCAAAAAAGGCCTTGCTATGGGGTCAGAGAAGGAAGTCAGACTGAGCTGCACAGATGCAGAAGGTTTTTCCATCCCCCACTCCTAAAAAACAAAACACACCCAGAAGTGAAGCAAGTATCCACAAGAGTATTTCTTGCAGAACCACTTCTGCATTTGCAACTTCACAGTTGCAAAAGAAAAATCAGGGGGAAAACTTCTCCCTTCCTCTCCACTGGTACATAAGTAAATATTTCTTAGAGAAATTTGCCAGAGCATGGTTTTTTGATACATGGAAAACTAAAGCTACAACAAAAACCCCCAATTTTGGTGACTATCTTCTTGGTAAACCAGCACTGCATCCCAGTATGAAGGGTCGAAGTGCAGTACAGAGAAGTCAGTTGAGTTCTCCCACATCACTGCAAGCTAACACAACAAATAGGATCAGAAAACAGAACTCATTTCAGGCCATATATAGGGTCTAAAAAATAAAGAGAACAGGGAAACCAAGGAAGGTAGGAAAGGAGAAGAGGAAAGAAAAAAAGTAAAGCTTACAAGAACTACTGAAAGATTAGCAATTAATCACTTACAGAATAAAAATACTTCTTCCAGAAAATCCTTTTGATATCAGGAAACAGTAATTGAAACACAAGGGTTCCCATTAATGACTACTGTATAGTAAGCAAAGGTCTAAACAGTTCCACCAGGAGGAAGGAGGTAGCCCTTGGACATGGGTATTGCACAGAACACAGATGTTCCTAAACTAGCGAGTGCGACCATCACAAAAAAAGTTTCTTGCCTTTCTTAATTATCACAAAATATTATCTCTCAATTATAGTGTAAGACAATCAGCATTCACTATCTGAAACTAATTTCTCTCTCCTTTTTCAATGTACACTGCCAGACTTTCCCATCATGTTTTATTCTGTTTTAGAGATGTATGAATCCAGAAGTGTTCCAGATTCACGTGGCAGGAGGAGGACATAGAATATGGAAATAAGCATTTTTGGAAATAAGCATTTTCAGGGAGAAAAATATCATTACCATTTAATCTGCCTCCTTAACCAGCTACAGCTCATCAAGATTGGATATAGGACACAGAAAGAATCTCTCTTAACCAGCAGTCTCCCACATATTTCAGTGCTTTAGCCATGGCAATGGTAACAGTAAGTCAGCATTCAAGAAAAAACCAGTAAATTCTGGAGTAACATGGTGAGAAAGTGTCATCCTTCAGCCTAGTTTGTAAATACAGCATTGAAACAGCTTAGGCAGAAAAATGAAGCAATCAGTGCATCACATGTACATTTTTCTAAAGAAAAGGCTATGTTTTCCTAAAGCTATAAAGAACACTGTGCTAAAAATTTACGATTTTCTATGCAGTAATATTAAAAATAAATACCTCTAAAAAACCCAGATACAGTGAGTGAATAAGTACTAACTATTTCCATAACATCTTTTACCCCGAGATCAACTTCCTTTAGAAGTAACTTTTAAGCACTTAAGTACCAGAGTTTTTACACCATATATACAACCTTTTCAGATTCTAGGTTGCTATTTTTTTCTTCTTCTTTCCTAAGAAAAAGCATGCACTTGTGGCTAGAACAGTGCACTATACCCAGAGGTTTCCCTACTCCATCAGATTTGACCTAGCTTACCCGCTAACTAAAGATTTTCCTATAAATTCCACCAGAACACTCAGCAACAGCAAAATGATTTGCAACATGAAAAATCCTAAAAGAGCCTCCAGAGACCAGGAATTATGAAGTTAGGCCTTTATATTCTCTAAAGAGCAATACCAAAACCCAGGCAATCCTCTTAAGCATTCTGAGGTCGGCTGGCACATGCACTACAAGTTCTACACAGCATCTCAAAAGGGTTGTTTGTTCCAGTGGAGATAGCTTGATATGACACCAATTAAAAAACTGGATGGTCTCAGACTAACTACTAGATTAGCACCACTTTACTTACTGTAACTCTGTTGGCCACTGAACAAAACCTGCAGTATTTGTAAACCTACAAGAATCTGTCAATTTAAACTTTGCAGCCACATTTAAGAAATACAAATGCCAGGCAAGGAACAGTAAATAGGACAGATCACAGGGGGTTCTGAAAGAACAAAAGTTGATAGGACGTAGATAGATCTATGAAATATGATCAGCAGCAGGAATAGGACTCTTCTGACTATAACTAAATGGGGTAAATAGATCAACAAAGCACTGCAAAGGGCCAAAGTTTTAGACTTTTAATATAGCAAAAATCAAGCCTTGGGTTATGTCAATATTACAAAAATATCGCATGTTTAAAAGAATACTATAGAAATTTTGGTGTAGTCTGTTTTATCATTTCAGAAAAACTGATATAAATAAATCCCTTTGCTCCCCCCCCTTAATAATCGATATTTATATTTATCTCACAATAATTCCCAGTTTATATTTGTAGAAATGGCCAGGAATGATGACAAGTTATCAGATGTAGTTTTATACTGTGTAACATAGCCTCTTCTCTTGGACACAAATTAAAACAGAGGTTTTTCAACATTTTTCAGTTCATTAATTCCAAGGGAGTGAGAAGCCTTACACACACTAACACTGCAAGTCCACTAAGCACAAGCGGAGTCAAAAGATCACAATAACCATATTACCACATAAACATCCAATTTCAGTCCCTTACTAAACAAAAGGTTTTAAGATTTCCATTGTATTAAAAATGGTTGAACAAGTCAACAGGAGTTTTGCACTCAATAACAAAGAGTGGTCTGAAGTCACCTACAACACCCCATCCACTTCCCAACAAAACAAAACCAAGTCTCACAGTTAATTTCATTTACCTCAGTGTGAATCCAGTGAGCAGGAGGATGAACAGTGTACTTTACTGCCAGCTCTAATATTCCTTCTTGCTCCAACAGGCCAGGGCTTGAACATATTGAGAATCCCCCAACTACAGATATTCCAGGAATAAAGAAATCAACCCTAAAAATAGACCAGAAACACAAGTTTAAAAAAAGCCAACACCACCAAACATGGAAAACAATAACCAAAACAAAATGGATGCCGTTGTTTCAATTACCCTTCCTTTACAAAGACATCTTAATTTCCAGAGCATAACTTTTCCAAAAAAGGACTTAATATTGAGTAACACCATTTTCTTAGAATTATTTTAATCTAGAAACATGTCATCACCTTTGTTAAACTAGCAGGTTTTTAAACTGTTCTGCTTTTAGCATTAGATGCCACATCTTACAACAGACTAGAATTTTAAGTGTTTAATAAATTATTTGTGTATTAAAACAAAACCACAATATGGTCTGATAGAGTGGCTTAAATTCCACTCTTTTTGGTCCCTTTGATGGGCTCTTCAATTTTCACACATAAGAATATTGGGAAACTATTTTAGGTAAATGACTTTATATTAAACCTTTTATTTTCTTGGGCTGACAAAATATTTGAAGTAAAACCACAGTCTGTAGAAGCTAGAAGCAGAATTGCTTTACCTGTTGAACTGCGGTGCCCTCTGGTGGCAGATATTTCTTTCTAGCTGATAGACAATTGAACTGGATTGAATTACTACCTTTTTTTTAAAAAAAAGTAAACCATGCATGGATTTCTACAGATCAGAACGTAACATATGGCTAGGCTTTTACAACACCAGCAATTAGAGAGTATGGAAGGCAAGCCATCACTACACATAAGCTATAATTCATTTTCATAAAAGTAAGGCTTTGATATTCCAAGTAGTATCAGAAAAAGTTCAAGGTTGATTTCTGAACTAACATTTTAACTTCTCTGTGTTGCATAAATACTTAAATACATTTTTTCTACAGCACTCAACAAAATCCCCGTATTTAAAAATAAAACTAATGTTTAAAACTAACTGTGTTGTTCCACTTAGGAAACCACCACACTGGTAAGCAACGCCAATTACTAGAGAACCATTATTCAATTCAAGCCTGAGTTAGGCTGACTCAGTATGAGTTAAATGACAATGTAACAAGTACACACTGACATCCTGTGCATATTTTCTTCACAGAGCAAAGCTGTATTCTTTACGGAGTTCACAAATTCTTGAGGGAAGAGACAAGCACTTTGAATACTTTTTAACTTTTTAAAGAAAAAAAATAATCTTGCCTGCTTACTTCCCACAAAGCTTTACCTGTCAAAGAAAAATATCCTTTCTCTCGAAAAATGCACAGTGTGATACATACAATACTATAGTGATAATAGTTTTTAACTTTACGTTAGTAAACTTGGTCGTGTATAAAGGTATCTGACTGCAAATGAAATGTCAACAACAAAAAAAGTTGAGAAGGCTTATTTTGCTGTCCTCAGCTTCTGCAGCCCCACTGACTATGGGGCTCAGCTTTCCTGGCAGCAAGGATCTAAGAGATTAGAAAGGACCACTCCTGTACTGCAGCATTTATTGTATCAAAGAACACCTCAAGATGCTACTAAAGCTCTTTACCACCCTCTGGTGGAAAATAATCTTACTGCTTACAGTAACGAAAAAGAAAACCGTTTATGCTGTAAAGTAACAATTTACATTCAAGTCAAAATGTTCTGCCTGACATATAAGGGAAACAATATTAGTGCCTGGTGGGGATACATACATTCATTACTGGAAAACTCAAATCAAACGTAGTACTTTAGAAGGGTAAAAACTAACATGTTTCATTCTGTATTAGTATTTCTTTCCCAATTGCATAATTATGAAAGATTTCAGGGTGTAATATGCTATGTTATAACAGACTAGCATGTATTTCTAACAGCTAGTCTCATCTTCACTGTGCTCAAGAAGGATAAGAGGACTCCTAAAGAAACAGTCTGTACAGCTTGAGCGAAAAGAGTAGTTGCAGGGGAAAAAGAAGAAAAAAAACCCTATATAAACCCACAACAAGGAGAGGTGCAAAAAGATGTAAAAAGATCTTATGGTGGTTTTTCATTTCCCTCCTTTTAAAGGCTACCTAAACCAAATCTTTCAAGAAAAGAACAACAATTAGCAACTGCTGGAGGAAGAGATTGGAAACATTAAAACCATAAAGTTACTTCTTCAAAGTATTTATAACATGCATATACCTCAGTGCATGTTTTAGTAAATCAAAATGGTTAACAGCAACAAGTTTCTTTATTATTACTTGAAGGCAGATAAAGACCAGTATCTGCCAGCATGCTTGCAAAACAAATTCACTTTCGTTTCTGAAAAACTTGATAATTAGAACACTCTCAAAAAATATATATATATTCTAGTGACAATCTTTGGCTGTAACATCTTACTATAACAAATTCTAACAAGTTATCCTTTTCTACTCAGGAAATTGTGGCCTGATGTTTTGTACTGCTCATCAAAAAAATGCAACCACAGTTTATAGCCACAAGTATAGAAAAGTTGCTGTATACCTTACAATAGCATTAGAATACTTTCAAGGAAGAAGAAAATGAAAAAGAGTAATTATAATTAAAGCTTTCAGTTTTCAACATGGTAATTTCTAAAACATTTTTGGAGGGTAAATGCACTTTCCAAGTACTGGCAAGCAAGAATTTAATATGAGTCATTGCACATGTGCAAAAACTGCAGCAAATTACTCCACAAACAAATTATTGCAATCAACATCTTGTGTTCTGATTCTAAATTTAAGAGCCAGCATATTAACACTACATGAGGAACATATGCTGTTAATACTCTAGCAGCTAGCTATACTTTGATTCCAGCAAAACCACTTTCAGATGGCCTAAGCCAATAAAAAGTTTAAGGACATTTAAATGTCCAATGCCAAAAGCAACTGCTCAGTTTTAAATTAATTTTTAAGAGAAAAAAAAAAAAAGTTGATTGAGTGGGAGTATTTTTCACAAGGAAGACAAACATGAAGATCCATTATTTCCTGGGAAAAAAATCTGTATGATTGCTTAAACAAATAGCTAATTATTTCAAATGCTTAATAATTCAAGTTTTTTTATTTTCAAGTTTGCCTATCTATATTTACATATTAATCTGTCCTAACAGGCTTACTTTGTAGAGTGGAACCATTAAGGAAAGAAATAAAAGTTAACAGGCAATTCTGATTTAATTATAAACCAAAACTAACTTGCAAATCAGCAGTCTCGGCTCTGCTGCAAAAAATACCTAGTAAATAAAGACAGTATAGACAGCTTGCAGAATAAACTGCAGTCTACTTCAAAGTACTCTTGAAGAAACAGTGTAATATACACAAAGTAGAGGAAAATACCGAAATAACCAAACTGAACTCTTGAAGAATATCTATTTTTGCCCTTTTGAAATCAGTATCAGCATATTTAATAAAGGCTATTTTAAAGTTACGCCAAATATCAGCTATTTGACAGAGCACCCAATAATAAAACATCATATTATATAAATTAATGATTTTTTCCAAGGCTCAAGTATCAGAGGCCTTTCAACATTTTGTTATAGTGGACTTCGACTAGTAATTTTCCGCTCAAATATCAAAAGATCTTACCACTGTCCTGCTTTGAAAGTAAAATCTTTATTTGCGATAGCCAAACGAAGTCTTTTGACTGTCTCTGACTCATTGGTGATTCCACACACTTTTGCTTGTGAAATTACCTAACAAAAGAAAAATAAGCCATTGTGTCACATAGATATAATTTGCAGCAAAAGTACTCAGGAATCTCTGTATGAGACACATATCACTTTGCATGTTATCTGCAGCATTTAAGTACCTAAAGCACCAATATTTTTTCACTGGGGTAGGGGAATAAAAACGGATTCACTTACATAGTCACTGAATGGAGAAATTATTTTCTACTTACAGTCTACCATGTCTGTCACTTTTGTCAGGGTTACTCTAAGATTATATTCAAATTAATTTTATTTCAGTTGAAGAGAACATAGCAGTAAAGAGAAGCAATTGCTAGTTACCACGGTCAGATTCTTTTGACACCTACACAAGGCAAACACTCCTGTATTTTCCAGCAAAGCAAAAAGATCTCTGATAGAAAGACAGACAAAGGAAACCTGTAAAAGATCAGATGCTACTGAAGTCCCAGGGAGAATTCTGGATCTGCATCTAGTTTTAAGTAATTAAATGCATTACTGAAAGATTATGCACTAATGAAAGAAAGCCAACAAGCTTTGTGTTACTGCTTTTAGACACATACCCATTTGACCACATATGTGGTCTATGAACATGGGGAAACTGCCACACAAGCATTCATTGCTAGTTAACAGAAAAGTTTTTGTTTGGCAACCAGATGGGAGGGGATGCAAAAGCCATAGTTGATACCACTTTTAAAGAGATTAATAAAAAACAACAACAAAAAAAGCTTTTCTAAATAAAAAGCAGATTTTTGCAACAGGGCAATTGGGAAGGAGCTCCCCACTTAAAACTCTTTGATGCCTGTCAGTACAACATGGATTTTCATCCCCTCCCCGCCCTGCCCTTCCTCTTCAGGTATTTTGGAGTTATAATTATTAACCTTTTTCCTCTACAAAGAAAGTAATGCCCTAAATATTTTCTACACAGGCAAATACACAGATTTGTGTAAAAATCTGTGTAAAAAAATGCTCATGTCATTTAACACACTAGGAAATGCTAATACTACCACCACAACTCTATTATTTCTTATTTGTATAAGATCAAACAGATGAAAAAAAAAATTAAACGTTAAGCAACTATGCTCTAATTTAAAACACATGGCAGGAAATTAATTTATTCATAAAGCAATATCTGAACACGTCCACTGTCCCATTAAACAGCAGGACATTCCCCAATTTAAAATAAAGTATCATACATTTCTTTTCCACTTTAGCAGACAGTATTAAATGGGGAATGCAATCACTCTAAGTTAACAAGAAATGTCAGACACATGACTTAAATGGCTGTTGTGATGGAGAAATCTTAAGTACAGGAAATGGACATTAGGTTTGGATCTTCTTTAGTCCCTTCTTTACTCTTCAGTACACTCCCTAATTTGTTCTTTGGCTGATACATCTAACAGCATCAGAAACATAATTCTTAATCAGTATAAAGTTATTATAAAAATTTAATTTGAGTCAGGGTGACCAAAGATATTCGACCAGTATTTTGGACCATCCCAAGAGAATTCAACTGACCCAGAGCAAGGCTGCAGTGAGAGGGAGGAGGACACAGGACTCCAGACTTTGCCTTTGTATTTTAGGAAAGCATTAGGCACTTTTTCCTGCCCTGGTCCTTCCCACTGTACTTCAACAGAAAATACTGTGTAGCACACACTAATGCAACACAGACCTATGTTTCTTTCATCTTTCTACAGGACTGAAATAGCCAAATAAGGCAATACAGACTGAAGGAAGCCAATTGCTGATTATATGGAATTTAAAACCAAGCAGAGGTTTTAAAATAAACTGATTTTAAAGTGGTCAGAAACAAAGTAACAAAGAATAAATCAAGCATTAAAAAAAGAAACAGCACAATCCTCTGATATGGAGAGAATCTGCGGTAGCAAGAATGAGCTCTGCTCTTTTATCTGTTCCATACAGCTTCCTTCTCAGGCCTTACACAGTTCCCTCAGAGCTTCCACCACCTCATAAGGATCCATTTTCCACATATTTTCCAGCTACCCAGTGTTTATGTTGAGCAGAAAAAGTAAGCAAGCCAAGAAATCTGAAATACCCAAGATTAAAAAAATGTGGTTGTAAAACTCATCAGTGCAATCATTTTGTCCATGTCAGAAGCAAACTAGAAAGTGCATCTGTCCATACCTGTCTCTACACTCATTTTCTCCATGTACTGAGTTAATCTAGGGACAAATCAGATCCACCTGAGCAGCTGGATGCCCACAAGCAGTGTTAATCAAGTAAGAGCTGACATTAGGTGTGACTAGCTAGGCACAGCTCTGAGACACGTGGTTCCCAAAGATAGCTTACACCCTGACAGGCAGAACAAGGCTGCATTTGTCTCATCCACCTACAGCCTGTGTCACGAGTGCTGAATCTTCAGGTTTGGGGGTTACACATATATCCCCCCAACCCACCTTCCTTTCGAGAGAATTCACTTGCCCTCTGACTTATTCTCAACTATAGTTAGGGGAAAACCCAGCAGAGAAGGGCCGCACATGAACATCTCTGTAGTGTGTCTGAGAACACACTTTGTCCTGCTGTGTGACACGTGCAAGACTGGCCTGTCATGAATGGCTACTCAAGACTGAGAGAAGATAACTAAACAGTGGGGAGAAATTGGGCACCATCTCTCAAGTCCTGTGAATTAAAGATGGGATTTTTCAGTCAAAAAAGTGCCCTACTTCTCCTGAAAAGTCTAAGAAAAATGCAGAATTGTTTCACCTTTGAAACATTTTTGAGAATTTAAGTCATTCTGCCAGTATTTAAAACTTTCAAAACATCTACTTTAGCTAATTACAGAAGGGAAATACCTATATGAAATACAAAGTATGTTCACCTCTGAACATTATGAAAAAGAATGCTTATTGCTCAAAACCGAGACCCAGAATAAGCATTTCTGGATCTTGATGGAGAACAACACTCTTATCTTCCTTGCACTTGTGAGTTAAAATAGATATAAACTAAGATGGCTTCTACAACTGTCTATCATCTCTTCCTTCAAAATGTCTACACTTTTTATCTTACCTCCTATGTCATAAAAGGACATTTTCCACATTTTTTTATCTCAAATTTGAACCAGAATTGTAGAAATCCATAAAAATCTGAGAAGCCTGTGTAGAGATGGGTATTGGTGTGCTTTCATAACTTACCATAATCCATATGTGACCAGAATTCTATTAAATTTCTCGTCCAACATAAACAGCACCACATCACTGACAATTTTTATAACTCATTACATTTCATCCACTGACCACAAAATACACTTATTTTACAGCAATATCAAATATGAAAAATGAAGAATAAAAGAAGTAAACCAGACACCAGTAGAAGACAAAATAAAGCCTAAGAATCAAATACAATTATTCAGTTTCTTCACACTGAAAAAAAAAAGTTATTCACATTCTAAAGAACAGAACACTAACCTCCTGGCGAAAATTATTTGCTGTCCTCTCTAGATGATCCATTTTCCTTTTTGATTTTATTGTGCTGCAACAAAAAGCAAAGATAATTGTCATTGTAACAGCTGTGCTACTGTCCCTTACTGATATGAATTTCTATTAACATAACAATTTACCAGTGTAATCCAGACTACAGATGACAGAAGTCTAAATAAGAATTAAATATAAATATATAATTGGGAGTTAAATAAGTATTTATAGATCTGTAACAATTTGTCAGCTTCATTTTGACAGTGTTGCCATGACATTCTCTTTACAAAAAAAAAAAAAAAAAAAAAAAAAAAAAGTAGTTTGTATGTGGATAACCTACCCATTCACTGTGCAGTAGCAAAATGCAGAGTGCCTCAACACCACCAGTGCAGAATGAGTGGGGAAAATTCTGCTAGCACCTCTTAGTAATTGAGGAACAGTAAAACCCACATAAATAGTAGCATGAGCCATGATAACTGGGCTGTCTTCAGAATCACCAGCTCCTGAAAAATCCATATAAATATTTATTAAATAAAATACTCACTGACATGGCTTGTTTTCACCCCTTATTTCCATTAAACTAGAAAGGCCAAAGCTCAGCTGGAGCTAAAACTAGCAATAGACATATGGGGTAACAAGAAGGAATTTTAAAGGTACGAAAGCGTCATAAAGAAGTGAAAACATACATCCATTAATTGGAGGGGAAGATAGCCTTGTCACACAAAATGAAAAGGCTGAAGTACTCAACACCATTTTTGCCTCAGTCTTCACCAGCAAAGCCTGCACCCAGACCTCTGCTTGTACCAGTGGTGTTTAGGAAAGAGATGTGTAAGTAGGAACGTGGCCAGCAACTGCTTAGAGAAGCTGGATGTATTCAAATGCAGAGCCAGATGGGTTCCATACTCAAGGTTGCTAAGAGACACAGCTGACACGCTTGTGAGGCAACTGGCTATCACCTATGAAAAACAGTTATCAGAGAAAGTCTCCAATCAACTGGAAAAAGACTAATGCATGGTCATTTTCAAGAGAGGCAAGAAGATGATCCAGTCAGCACCAGCTCAGTCTCTGGAAAAATTGCTCAGAGATCATCCCCTTAGCTGTGGGAAAGCTAAGAAAGTAATCATGGAGATTCAACATAGATTTACCAAAGGCAAATTATATTTGATAAATCTGAACACATACTGTGATGAAATGTCTGGTCACACAGCTAAGGGGACAGCAGTACATTCAGTACTCCTTGACTGTCCTGTGGTTTCTAACACCATCTCCCATAGCATACACATCAGGAAGCTGAGGCCAGATGGACAGCTGGGGTGGTTAAAAACTGGACAGACAGAATTGAAGACCTGATGGCTTCAAGTTGCTTCAGTTACTGGCTAGTAACAATAAGAGTACCCTGGGGTTGACAATGGGGCTGATAGGGTTCAATAAATTTATCAGTAATTCGGATGATGACACAAAAGGTACCATCAGCAAACTTGTGGATGATACTAAACTAGAGGGATGGTTGACATGCTGAACGGTAAAGCTTCAAAGGGGCACTGAAAAACTGCAGGACTGGAAAACAAACCGCACAGACTTAAAGTACAAAGGTCAACCCCTGCAATAGGGGAGCTTTGACTAGATTACCCTCAGAAGTCCCTTCCAGACAACATAGCTGTGATTCTGGGTGGAAAATTTTATAAATATTAAATAAACCTGCTTGTTTACAGGTTTATTTAAAAACATGGACATCCTTCATACTTCCATATATCCTACATAATACTTACATCTCTAACCAGTTAAGTGGCAGACACTTACATGTACCACAGTGGAAACTTCAAAACTACCCAAACAGAGCTATGACAAAGAAACTGGCATGTATAATACTCAAAATATGTCAGAAATACCCTTCATTTACAAAGTGTAGGAATAGGTTCATAGTGAGCCAAGAGGTATTTCTCGTTGCTTGTAAATCTGCCTTTGTTTTTCCTAAAATGAATTAGCATAATTCTCTATCATATTATCATCACCTATTAAATTTTATTATTTCTATGATGCAGTCCATTCCTTCTTTAAAGAATTCTTAATCTTTTACTTCCCTTTAAATCTCTTTTCCTGCATTCTTTTACAGCATGTAATTTATTTTCAAAATGTTTTTGTTTTTCATTTTGAATCCTTTGAAATGGCAACAATCCAGCTTGTTTAACTAATCAGGCCTATACTCTCTAGGCTTTCAATAACAGCTGCATTGGCTGGTCACTTAGTAATTTGTCCTGTTTGTAAGCTTGTACAAATGGGAGGCAGAGCTTTCATAAATTAGGCTGCTCAGAAATGGAATACATTTACTGTAACTACTCAAAATGTACACTGTCAAGCCTAAGAAACACTTCCTGAAGCTTTTAACTGTCCATAATTTTTAATAGCTTTTTAGTATTTAATTCCACAGCAGCTTGCAACTTTTCAACATGGCATTATTTAAAATTCTTGTACCATCAGTGAGCAAAATGACTTTTTTTTTTTCTGCCAGAGCATACAGAGTACTCTAAACAAAAAACTTTAGCACATTCTACATGCAAATGTGTAGAAGTTATTGATTACAAAAGTATTAACAATCTTAAAAGATTATAGCAAGACAAAGTACACATCTAATGAAGAAGAGACATTCCTCTACCTCAGCATGTTCAGTCTGTAAACCCAGAGTCCTCAGAAATCATTGAGTTACTCAAATTCCTGAGATCATTTTATGACCTGGGTCTTTTAGATAGCATATCTTGGTTCCATTCACCTACATCTCTTTTTTTTTTTTAAGGCATCATGCTTTTTCATTAATGTTTTCAAGCTTTTCACTCTACCACATTAACTAATTCAAAGTAAAAATGAAGGATGTTTGAAAGTGAACATTGTTATATGAGCTGTTTATGCCAACAGCTGTAACTTTAATTAAATCACCACAATGTCAAAACGAACCACATAAAGTCGGACACTTTGCTTCAGAGGCCAAGGATTGAGAGTAAAGATTTATTCCTTTCTTGTCTTTTTTTAAAATCACCTCACATTCCCCAAAACCCTTTCTGCTATTAATTGCTACTAAACACAGCGACATCTGCTGGTAAAGTAAGTGTCTTAACTTTAAAATTCAATACAAAGATTGGCATTTGTTTATTTTTACGTATTTGGTTTAATTCTGCTGCTAAGGTTAACAGTCATTTAAAGCTGGCCTCATTCTCATTTTCACTGCTACCACTTTAGGAAGCAAATATGCTCAATTATACACAAAAAAATGTAAAAAAACCCAACCAACAGTTCAATATCAATAAATAATACTTCAAACAAAATAAATGTCAGCCTCATTTTATTGCAGCAGCCACAACTTTGAAGTCAGAGATGAAGGACCTTATTGATACAGACTATTTTAAGACTGAGACTCTACCCTAAATTAAAAGTAAGTCTTGAATGGCACTTCAAGATACTTGCTCCATTTACACTAGTATCAATCACTTTCCAATCCTTAAAGTCATAATAAGAATCAGTTGTAATTTCTACTCGGTAAATAATAAATTCCAGAATCTCACTTAATGAGTCATGGTTCTCCTCTACTATGTACAAGTCTGAGTCATGCCTTCATAAAACATGAACAGCCTCTCCCCCCATCTGTTATCTCTGCAACTTTCTTGGCTCATCCAGCCCTTTGGCAGTTCCTTGCCTTCCAAGAAGTGCAGTGCTTCAGTGTCCCAAGCTCCTGTCTGATGAGATGGTCTCCCTCTATTTTTTATTCTTTTCCTCCCCAAGCCCTTACAGAAATAGTCACTCCAAATACTCCCTTTCTTCCATTGCTCCACGGAGACAAATGAGCGCTATATGATGCCTTCCTCTTCTCAATTTTAAAATCAAGCAATTCATTCATTCTCCTTACCCTCTGACCCACCGGCCCTGGGTTAATATCGCTTGAGATCTACAACTGCATGTCTTCCTCAATTCTACATCAGTATCTGAAGGGAGTTAGTTAACCTGTAACACACCAAAGAACAAATTACTAGAGAAGTTAATGCAAGAGTGTCGTGGGGGAAGCAAGGACATAATCAAGCAGGATGGGAAACTTTTACCCCAAAAATGTATATAGATAGGCAAGAGATACCCTTCTAGACACACTGTCCTTCCTGCAAAAGCTTTTCCCCTTGACCTGGGATTAAGGCACACACGGGGCAGGGCGGGGGGGGCAGTGAAGCACGAGAGAAGCGTGCTGGCGGCTGAAGGGGGGCAGCATTCCGGAGGCCGGACGGCCGCCGTCCCTGCCCGGCCCAGGGGAAGGGGAAGGTCACGGCGGTCCCCTCGGGCACCAGGGATCACCGCTCCGCGCCGCCCGCCAGGCGAGAGGTCGGTCGGGGCGCGGAGCCGGTAGGGC